GAGCGAGGGAGTGTGAGAGCGGGCTGGCGGTCTGCGGGTCCATGTCAGCGCACCAGCGCCAAGGCGGCGATGGCGTCGATACACCAACTGTACAGTATGAACGATGAGGGTACGCACGGGAGAGCGTGCAGAGCGAGAGGGCAGGCAGCGGATCTCGCGTGGGCGGCGCTTTGCGAGGGCTGGGTGCCGCTGGGTGCCCGAGCTGCCTTGCGAGAGCTGGTCTGGATTCGTCCTAGACGACGCTCGCAGAGCGCGGCGCTCTAGGCTGGAGACTGGCTTGCCTACGCGGGGAGGTCAGAAGGGCCTGATGCGGAGGTGACGTGGTCTGATAGGGCTCTAGTGTCGCTGCAGCCTTGGGACCGGCCTGGGCATGCAAGATGAGCCTCCAACGAGGTCGAGCGTGCGGCGGGGACCTAATACTACCGAAGTAGGCTTTGATGAGAATGAAACTAGAGATACAAGGCGGTGGTCGTAGCATTGTTGCGATGTTGCATGCGCATGACGGGCATGTCTTGTGTGTGAGCGAGTATCATGATGTGAGGCTGAGCGGCTGGTAGGACGTGCGTAGCAGCAGGGGACTCTCACGTCTCACACTGCAGACTCGGAGCTTCGAGGTCAAGGAGGTCAGATAGCCGCTACCCTTATCCAGAGCAGGTCACGAGTCACAACTGCTCGTGAGCGCGCCTCAGGACAGAAGTTGACAAGCCGGAGCGCGGGAAACTTAACCGCAGCAGCTGTTAAAAAACAAGCACTGCCGATCCGAAGAACCAAGTCCGACAATCAGCAGATGTGAACCGACTCGGAATCATCTTCCTTTTTTTGCCGCAGAAAGTGAACATCTTGTAGTAAAGCTGTATTTTGATACACCGGTGCCCGCCCGTACAAGCTGCGCGGGTAGGGGTACTCGATGCTACGGGTGATTTCATCACCTGCATAGGGGGTAGGGGGTAGTCGACCACCAGCCAGGCCTCCGAAACTCGCGTGACTGCTTCCCCATTTCGGGGAGTAGTAGGGTGCGTTAAAAAGAAACCCTCCCGGGCACTGACATCCTCTGAATGCTTCCCTGCTGCCTCCCACGTGCTCCCTCCTCCTCCGAGCTCGCTGCCGCTATGCTTCCGGAGCCGGAGGACGACGACCTGCTCCGACTGTCCTATCACCGATGGCCTCTCGATGCTTGGGACCTGATCGGCACTCCTTCCGAGTCCGAGGAGGCTCCTCACACGCCCTCGTCGCCGGCGAGCTCGGGGCCCGAGGCGAGCAGCCTGAGCCTGAGATGGTCGGACAAGGAGTGGGGAGGGGGCGGAGAGGAGTTTGAGAGCTGCTGCTGGCTGGAGCCGCTGGAGCCGTCAGCGGCCGAGCCGGATCGGGGAGGGGGAGCGGAGGAAGCCCCGGGGCTTGTCGCCGCCCTCACGGACTTGGACGGCCTTGTCGGGCCCCGCAAGAGGCGAGCCTGGACGGAGGAGGAGCGGGGAGCGCACAGCAAGGCTTGTCACGGCAAGTCCAAGCTGTCGCTCATGCAGAAGCTGGAGATCATCGAGCTCTACGAGACCACGACATGGATGAGCCAGACGGAGATCGCGGCGATCTTCGGCCGGAGCCGGTCGGCGATCTCCAAGATCCTGAGGCCGGAGAGCGTGCGGAAGCTGAAGCAGGCGACGGCGCAGAGGGGCGGGGTAGACGTGAGGCGGACCAGGCTGACAT